CCCCCAACGCACCCAAAACAAAAACAAAAACAAAAAAAACACTCATGTAGAGAATTAGAATTTCAGACAAAGAAAGGGACAAAATTATTGCATAAATTATACCGATATCATAGGATTAAACCCGTCCTACCGATACCCATCAAATTCCGATCAACATTCAAAGGAATTGCAACGGAAACAGACGCGATCAGAACCAAAAACGTACAATTTTTTTTCGGAAAGAATTCAAGGTATAGAGAAAGAGGAACCTCGCAAATTGAGGGAAAATTTGGGGAGATTCAGATGAGGCTATGAACAGGAGACAAATTGGCAGGTGATTATGTTGAATGTTGATGATTACGTTCTCTCACACATTTTCTTGCTTTTGTTGTCTCTGCCTTTTCCTTTTCGAGTTTCTTTAAAAAAATTTCACAAATTTTATAGTGGGGACCTTTGAGTATTTTATCTTAGTCCATTATACTATGATAAAACCACCAAAATGGATTTAGAGGATAAAATGAGATAAAATTGCTTTAAGATTGTGTGTCATGTTCTACGTGAACTTTTATATATACCAAACAACTCATATTTATGAGACACTATGATAATTGTAGATACTAAAAGATAGATAAGGAATTCATACCGTTGATAGTTGTGGAATCAAGTAGTTTACAAATACAGAGATGGGTCATGAACTCATTTAGTACAAGAGTCTAAGAATTGAGACATAGATAATTGATAGTATTTAATATTAATTATACATAATAAAATTTTAATTAGGTATCAATAAATAAGAGTCACTAGAATTTCAGCTAATGTCATTTGAATTGTAACTTCAACTATGACGTGTCTCCATAGACATTATATTTGCCTAATTTAAGTGGTTTATTGATTGTTTTTTCCCAATCAATATGAAGGGAAATATTAAAAATTAATTGAGGATATGACTTGTTATATGATAGATACCTAACTATGTAACAAAAATCCACACTTCTTTTTATTATTAATATAAATTGTGATAAAATCTTACACTACAGTCAAATCATACTATATAGGATGGGATGATCTTATTCTTTTTTCTTCAAATATATACATAGGTACACCCAACGAAAGGGCACTTGGGATCATCAGAAAATGCCCAACTCAAAGATACACATGGCAGTGATGGCATGGGCATATGCAAAAAAAAAAAAAAAAAAAAAAAAAAAAAAAAAAAAAAAAAAAAAAAAAAAAAAAAAAAAAAAAAAAAAAAAAAAAAAAAACACGGTGCATTAAGCTTTCGCAATGCGGGGATCCGGGGAAGGACCTGACTGTCATTCTATGGTTGAAAAATATTACTACAAATTTACATTTTGGCAACTCCTTTCATTTGTCACAGTAGTCGTTCATAGGGACATATCTGCCTGAATAGAGGATAGACTAGGTGAAGAATCACAGTAAGGACAGGTTAAGGCAGGGCGTTTGGAGCTGGCGGCAGTTGTGTTTGCGCTTAAGTTATAGCGTTATTACTTGTATGGTGAACCATGTGCGGTTTTCACTGACCTAACAAGGAAAACACAGTGTCTGGAGTTTATGTTTCAGTTTCTCACAAAAGACTCTACTAGTGATGAAGAGGTGATCAGGCCTGAGATGAGTCCAACAATAAGGGCAGTGTTGTAAGTGGTGGTTTCACTTTGGGAAATGTTGTTCCGAGAGTCCATATATGTATCACTGAGGGATGGTCCTCCAACAAGAGCTCCCACTGCAACATTTGGATTAGGTTCTCTTGTATGCAGCCATTTGAAGCCATCACTGCAATTAGAATTAACATCTACTGGAATTGAAGCACCCCTGTGGTGAACTTGCTGAGGATATCTACTTCCATAACCAACAAGGTAGCTCATTTCCATCGGATTGTTTCCCAATATATAGTCCAACTGGAAACAAATAAAGACAGATGTTTAATGTACTTGACATATAATGCATCTGAAACAATGACATGTTCAACTGGCCGTGCCATTTAATATCACGAAAATTGAACTTTGAAATAAGCAAATACATGCCTGTAAAACTGCAAAGTTGCGCAATTCTGTTGGTTCATATAGCTCCCCGATGCAATATAAATTTGGTGTTTGGGAGCTAAGCATGTAATCACTGTAAACAACTGCCAAAAATGAAGAGGCCACAGAATACTGCAATGGATTCCACTGGTTAACCCATACGAGGCCATCTGCAACAAAATTATACTAGTTTTATTGCACCTACCTTTCTTTGTAAAAGGAAAAAGATCATAATGATACAATGACTTGCTGACAGGATCATAATACCTGGTGTTCTTTGAGATGTTGCCGTTGGGGATTCAGGTAGAAGTCCACACAAAAAGGTCTCAGCAGTCTGTCTGTACAACTGGAGTGAAAGACTTTCCTCAGTTGAAATATCTTCCTTTGAACCAAATAAATTGACCCTTGATAATAGGACCTGAATCAAAGGTAAAAAATCTACATAGTTGTTAGCTGCTGGAATCTATCTTCTGAAGAATAAACACAAGCCAATACTGATTACTTGTTGGTGAATATTATTTATGAGAATAATGGCACATGCTTCACCAAATTATGTGCCTTAACTTATTTTAACAAAGCTAAGGATGCAATGTAGAACAGAAGCAAGATTTCGTGTTCTTCATTGTGTTTCCAAATTCCAAAGTATAGTATTTTTCCAGCTTCATGCTATTGATGCAAACACATTTCAAACAGATACTATCAGTTCTAATATTCTGGAGTACATGTAACTTCGTGGTAATGTATGAGTACAATACCTGAACTCCAGCCAACTTATTTTCCCAAGAAAACCAACATGGATTTCCCCAATTAGCAAACGTGTCGCCATTTGTAGCTACATAGCTAAGGTAAGATTTGTCTCCGGTAGCATGATAAAGCCAGGAAGCTGCCCACAAGAGTTCATCCCCAAATGCAGTAGAATTATAAAATTCCTGCACTTCAGGTATGCTGATACTGTACAAACCTCTATAAGTATCAGCAAACTTGAATAACTGTTGGGCATGCTTAAGAAGATTCTCTGAGTAGACAGAGTCAATTGACTTGAACACCAAAGATGCAGCTGCCATTGCTGCGGCAGTTTCTGCTGCAACATCTGTCCCTGGATACGTCGCGTTCACTTGTGTGAGAGGCCTTTTCCCTGTCATGACCTCAGGCCTTTCCCAGCACGTGTGATCCAGCTTTGGGTCACCCACCTTTCTTGTAGAAAAATACAGAAAGATACTTCATACTGAAAATAGTTGGTAATTGTCAAAGGGGATTAATTTACCTGAATATAGAGGACATTATCAGAAGGATGTGCATTAATAAGGAAATCAGTGATCCACTTGAGGGATTCTTGGGCATTTTCCAGCTCATTCACCAACTTCATGTTGTTGCCATACTCCAAAATGGACCATGATAAAACAGTTGCAGTGAATGCCATTGGAAATCCAAACTTCACATGGTCTCCAGCATCATACATTCCTTTAGTTAAATCCAAATTCACTTCGCTTCCATCTCCCATAGCTGAATCTCCTCTCCAAGCAATCTTATTATTCACCAATTTTCCAGCTGCAAGCAGTAATTCAAATATGAAAACAAAATAAGCAATAAACTTAGGGGTATATATATATATATATATATATATATATATATATATATATATATATATATAGTCTTACACTTCTGAATGTCGAAGAATTGCATAGCAATGCTAAGAGCATTTGCATATTTATCAACAACTTGGTGGGTAACAGCCTTTGAAGAATCAGAAGGATGAAAATATTTGCGGAAACTGAATAAAACTGCAGCAAGAACGAAAGCCACAAAAGAAAAAATGACCACCCCTCGCCAGAACCATCTTTTATCCTTATGTGTTTCTTTTTCCATTCAGTTTCAGTTCTCTTCACCAAAATATTTCAGAGCAAAATTAAATCAGACCGTATCGTACCCTCCATTCTTTGAATTTAAGGGACACGTATATATTAAAAGGAACGACTTTTCCAGCATGCCGAATGATGAAAATGCAAAATAAACTGAGAGACTCGATCATGATAATGAGCTAAATTGTACTCCCGTGAAGCCGCACTATATATGCTATTTGGGTATCTGGACAATCACCATATTACAGGAGATGGAGGTGAAACCGGCATATTTGAGATTTGTCTTTTTCCTTTATTGTGAAGAATGATGATATCTTGTTAATAAAAGATGTGAAACTAAGTACGTAATTGTAGAAACCCAATACTTTATTGAGAAGCTGCCAATCAGGTAGTGCAAAGTCAGCAATGAATGATGCCAACAATGTAGTACTTTATTGATTTCTCTACTTCAACGAACAACTTTTTGGAACTATTTTTAACGAGAATCATGATGCTTATTCCTCTTTCAAACGTATGCCGCCAATATAATATATAGAAGCCTCCCGCTTACGAAAGGAGATACAACAATATATTACCCAGTATACCTTTTCTAACTATTCCAACTATGCCTGCTCCCTCTTTTGTATTCTATAACCTTTCATGTCCTATATATTGTATGTGATAAATGGAAACCAAGCGGAAGAAAGTTATGTATATTTATGTCCGATTGTATGTGACACACTTTCACTTTAGGTTTATCTTAAAAAGAATACTCAATATTTTCTTGTATTTAGAAGTAATTTAACTTTAAACTTCTTATTTTACCTTAATAAAATAATTTATACTTTTTTTTTAGACCACAAGTTTCAAAAATATTCTTTTCTTTCTTAAACTTCCTACTCAGTCAAAACTCTCGACAATGATTCACTTCGGATATCTTGTGACAGTTTTTAATAGTATTGCCAAAATACATTCTACTTATTCAATCCCTAAAACTTTCTTCCATTAGTATAACTGTAGAAAAAATGATAGCTAATGAAAAATGAAGAAATGCCTTTGGGAGATGTGAAATGAGAAAATTGAGCAACAATGGTAGCTAACCACCGCGTAGAATCTCTTAGATTATTGACTAGTAGAACCATCATCCAGTCACCAATGTCAACTAGTCACCATTCATTACTCCTTTTAATTTTCCAATATTGCTATTGCAAACAACACAAGGTACTTCGATTACCACTGAACTCTGTTTCGATACAGTATTATAATTAAGAGGCCTGAACAAGCCATAGAGAAATAATTGTAGTTCCAATAAGAAAGAAAATACTAAGTACTAGTTGGAAACATATTGAAAATGTCGAGATGCATGCACATGACACCTTTAGATCACATAGTATAATTTCTATGGATTGGAATGAGAGAAGCAGACAAGGTTACCACTAACCTCAAAAGTTAAAAAGAGAAAAATAAAGTTGATGGATTTGTAGCTTCCCCTTTTAGCTAGTGAAAGAGAAAAACGAAACGCAATAGTACTAGCTAGTTTTCAGGAGAGTGTATTGGCTTGTTTATTTGCTTAACTCTGTTAAGTTTCGAGTTACATACAAGAGTAGTACAAAATTTCGACAGAGAAGAAAACAGGGGAAAAATTGGAATATTCCTGAACACAAATGTCTCTTCCTTCTGCTCTCATCTTAAACTTGAAGTTTCCAGTGGTCAAGATTTCTCTGAACCTGTGAACATGGATTCAGGAGCAAGAGGAGTAGGTGTATCCAGCTGGTAAAGGTTGAGGGCAGGACCAACAAATCGGAATAGTATCCAAGCCCCAATTATAATAAAAATAGAAGCATAAGCAAATTTGTTGAGCCAAAACAAAAGGCCTTTTTCTCCCACATACAGCTCCAATGCTTTCTCAGTCAGAGTCATGGATTCCCATTCCTTAGGTGGAGGCTTAGGTTTGGCAACTTGTTTTGCTGCATTAATCATTTCTTCTTCCTTCTGCTTTCTTCGTTTAGATGAACGTCTTCGGTATCGAATCTCCAACGTGTTTGGTGGTGTTATGGGTTGTGATTCGTTGTCATTATCATTGATGCTGCTGGTTGCATTGTTGTTATTGCTATCACTGCTGCTGCTTCTAATAGGAAAACGAACAAAGGATTGAACATGGCCATGTTGAGATTTGGAAGAAATTGGTATTGGGATTGTAGTGAAGTGTTTTGGGTAGGTAGAGAGCATGTTGGTGTTCATTTTCATTGCCTTTACCAGGGAACTCAAAGTATGAGGCCAGGAGACGCACATTGGTTTTTGATTACCTTATCCTTTTATCCCAACTAAGGAGCCTTTTTCTCTTTTTCTTTTTTAATTCTAAAATTCTAGAATGATACTCCTATATGATAATGGAACTTTGACTAAACTGTTGATATTTTTTAGGACAAGGGTTTAAATAAATTGAGCATATTTGACCTTCGTTAATACTTTAGCTCAAATATAATTGTTACATAATTAGTCCATATATGCCCTTAGAGTTACACAGTTGGCTCATATATGTCCTTTTCGAAACGGAATTCACTCAAACTAATTAGCTATTTCGTTAATTGTATTAAAGTGAATTACAAACACTATTTCCTTTTTATAATTACTTTTTCTTCACCTTTCTCTTTTCTTTCTTCTCTTTTTTTTTCCCTTTTTCTTTCTCCCTTATCTGTTTCCTCTATTACTGATGTCTTCTCCATTTTTGTCACCAATTTCACTTGACAAAACTCATGAATTCCAATTACTAAGAAAATTCTCCCATAAGGTAATCAAGTTCCAATTTCACTAGCCCTCTAAATAAACGAAATTAAATTGTTCCAAAAATTATGGTTTAAACTTTAAAATAATAAAAATATCTCAACCTTTAACAATACTCAAAAGACCAAAATATTTAAATTGTTTCCAGAAAGATAATTTAATGATTAAAAGCCTAGAGTTCAAGTTGTAGTGTTATAAATTTGAGTTGTTAGTCTTTTTTCATCTTTTTTCACCTGGACATTTTTTATTTTTTTATTAACTATGTAAATTAGGGGTGTACATTGAACGGGTTGGTTCGGTTTTTATCAAAACCAAACCAAACCAATTATATCGGTTTGGATTGTTCGGTTTTGTTGGATTTTTCGGATTTTTGTTACATAAATATTATTTCAATCTTACTTTGTTAAATTTTTTAGAACTAAATATATGTTCAGTAAAAATTTAAAAATTGACAAACATATGATCTATTAAAATATTCTTATGCGAGAATTTTCTTAATGATTGGAATTCATAAGTTTTGTCAAGTGAAATTAGTGACGAAAATGGAGAAGACATCAGTAATGGAGGAAATCGGATAAGGGAGAAAGAAAAAGGGGAAAAAAAGAAGAAAAGAAAAAAGAAGAAAGAAATGAGATAGGTAAAGAAAAAAAGTACTAATAAAAAGAAAATAGTGGTTGTAATACACTTTAATACAATTAACGATAGAACTAATTAGTTTGGGTGGATTCCGTTTCGAAAAGGGCATATATGGGCCAACTATGTAACTCTAAGGGCATATATGGACCAACTATGTGACGGTAAGGGCATATTTGAGCTAAAGTATTAACGAAGGGCAAATGTGCTCAATTTCGTATAGTACAAGGGCATATTTGGTCCTTTTCTGTATTTTTTATAGAGTTCAATAACTAATAAAACTTCGTCACACCCCTTCCTGCCTTTTTGTTTTCTATTATTAACCGAAGATATTCAACGCAAAAGGGTCAAATATACTATCAGAAAATATTTAAATATACAACTTCTTATATTTTGAGTCCAAATATATCCTTGTCGTTATACTATTGGTTCAAATTTACCCTTTTTCGTTAAGTTTGTCCAAAATAGACATCCAATCTTACGTGGCACTGACATTTGATGAGGCGGATGTCACGCGACTTGCCATCTTAGAGCCTCTAACCCATTATACCCCTTCCTTCTATTTGTTTCAACCACTAAAAATTTTTTCCCCTCCACCACTATTGCCACCATTACCGTTACCATGAAAAATATTGTATTTTAAATTTTAATCTTTTATATATGGATTCGGGATGCTGAGATGACATGTCATATAGCATCCACCTCATCAAATATCAGTGCCACGTAGGATTGGATGTCCACCTTGGACAAACTTAACATAAGAGGTGTATATTTGAACCAATAGTATTACGAGAGAGGTATATTTAGATCCAATATAACGAAGAATATATTTAAACTTTTTCTTATAGTAGAAGTATATATTTGGCCCTTTATCGTTTTCAAAATTTTGAGGAAAAAAATTTGCTTAGATAGTTGTTTCCCCTAGAATTTTATGCCGATCACAGTGTTAGTCATCACATACTTCCAATTTTATATGCTGCTTGAAATTAAATATTTTAAAAAATGATAACTAAATAAAATCATGTTAACAGTATGTCTAGTAGGATGAAAGATATTTCTGGAAAAAGAATGTTATTTTGTTTGGATTGCCATAAATGTCTTCAAGGGATATATTTTTCACCAAATTAAAGAAAATAATTTTCCTTACTTTTTAGGTCTAAATTATTTTCCTTCACAATTTAACGTCACAACTTCAACCAGCACTTAGATGTTACTGTTAACTTTTAATATTGTAAAATTTCATTAAAATACTATTCGATTTGCTAAGATATCAATCTGTAATAGATACTTCTCTTGAAAATATTTTTTATTCTTCGTCCAATCACTTAAAAACTTCTATAGAAATCATTTCCAAATATATATTTTAGAAAATATTTTTCGAAAACTATTTTTTTTGTCATATTTGGAGTGCTGGTGAGCATTCAAAATTCTTCACACGTGCAGTCAGTAAAACTCAAAATTACCCTTTTCTTCTCACTTTTTAGAATTTCCTCTTTTAAGGTGCCTGCTCGTATTGTCAAAAAATTTAATACTGTAACCGCGCCTAATCTTTGTCACTATGTATTGACAAATACACCCCTGCTAATTCGACAGAATAACAACAAACCTTATTCTTCTTCTCAAAGGCTGCAGCGCTTCACACACAAATTCCTCCATTCCACAATCCGCATCTATACTGAACAAAACAATTCGCACATTCTTTCAATTCACTGAGTTGACTCGTCAGCCATGTCCGAGTCCGACCAGCAGCGAACTCAGAAGGCCGATCCATTCCTCCTTAATTACAATCCCGAAGAGCTCCGAATCGCATCAGAGTTTCTGTCCAATTGGCTGCCCTTTCTCTCCCGTGACCTCTGCCACTCCTGCACCCACACCCTCTCCGATCGCATCCGATCCCTCAATTTTAGTAATTTCTCTTTCTCTTTCTCTATTTGTATTCTTTACATTAATATGTGTTAATGCATGTGTAATCAATTGATATAAACTCTGTAGCTCATGTACTAATTCTCACAATTTGCATTAAGTTCCCTGCTTTTTTGTGCTTGGATGAGTTTTTTTTCTCTAGAGATAGCGTCTTAATTCAAGTTTGTTTATTTATTTGACTTTTGGTTAAATTTTTTACGAAAGTTGTTTTTTTTTCTTGGGGTGGTGGGGGTGGTAATTACTTAGTTATGAAGATTGTTGTAGATAACATATGCAAAGTTAAAGTTTCTTTGGTAGATAACGATGGGCCAAACAAAATTGAATTCTGCTTTGTCTTGCTTATGTTTTGGGATATACTTTAATGATGAAGTGTGAAAGTTGTTGATTTAGTGAGTTTTTCTGATCAGAGATTTTGTTGGTATGATTGCAGAAGTTGGTGGTGATGCAGAATGCTTGAAGCAACCAAAGAATATCAGTGTTTTGACTCCGGAACGATGTGACTCGGATGGATGCAATGGGAGTCAAGAGAATTGTGACAACAATTCACTTGGAAGTTGGAATGATTGTGGTGACTTGAATGATAATGCAGATACAAACTCATTGGGGAGTTGGAAAGACGGGACTAGTGGGGGGGAGCCATTTGAGGAGCCTTCCGGGGACAGGCATTCATCTGACAGTTGTATAGATGGCGCAGATTCCCTTTCTCGGCCTGTTGGAGAGGCATCTACAAGTGAAGCATTCAGCTCATCCTTACCTGTGACTACCCCGAAAATGAAGATGTCGTGGGCAGATATGGCTCAGGAGGATGAGCTTCAAGCTGAGGAAGTGAGTGAGTCAATTGCCTTGAGTAGTCAGGTGAATGGTGTGTCTGAAGAGGAAATTACTACTCCGGAGAGTAAGCCAAAAACAGAATTGTCAAGGGAGCAACGAGAGTACATTAGATTCTGTAATGTGAAGAGGAAAAAGGATTTCATTTGTTTGGAGAGGGTGAATGGGAAAATCGTGAACATACTTGATGGATTGGAGCTACATAAGGGTGTCTTTAGCGCAGCTGAGCAAATTAGAATAGTTAAATATGTGGAGAAGCTTGATCAGATGGGGAAGAATGGGGAATTGAAAGGTATGCTTTGTCCTTTATACAACTCTCTTAATCATTTTTTTTCCTATTTTCAAATGAATGTTGTTGTCATATTGATCTTTGCAAAGCATAGTCAGTCCAAGCCGCGATTAAGGAGTAGGGAGCAATAGCTAGGCGGCCAACATACAATAATCTTATTATGTGAGGGATGCGATGATACCAGCACTTATCCGCTGGATCACATAAGAAGTCCGGAGTTATGTGTGCTCGGACAGCAGTGATACAAGGATTGGCATCCCTTGTGGGGCCAACTAGTTTAAGACAGGCATAGTTGCTTGATTGATGTCGTCTAGCTGTGTTAATGTTTGATCTTCAAATGTATTTGAGCAGGTGTTTCTGTGAACCAGAACACTCATATTTTTCCACTTTGTTGTTGTTAGACTTGTTTTAACATTAGACAATTAATAGAGTGTTCGATGTTGGTATTAGCTAGCGAATTCCCTTCTTTCTTTTTTCCATTTGATTAATCAGAGGGCTAAATAATCTGTATTTCTAGCATAGATACCAAGGTTCTTTGTCAAATGCATATTTGTTTCTAACAATTTAGATCTGGAAGGACGTTTTCGATGTTACTATTGTTGTTCATTTCTTTATCTTCATTTTGACATATGGTCATCCAATTCAGTTTGGGTCCTATGCTATTTAGATGCTAATGTCTTCAAAATAGGGTGATTGACATGGAGTTATTGCATTAGTTTAACTATAGGAAAAGTAAGAAAAAAAAATTCGGCTTGCTTGAGAGAGGATGAAGCTATTGCATCAGCTTGCACCTTTTCTACCTATCAGTATCTTTTACTATAAGACTCCTACACAAGAGAACTTATCTACTCCCTATTT